AGATGAAGGTCGTTGTATTTGAGTTTGTGCAGACTGTGTAGGACTTGATATATCAGTCGGCGAACCTATAGAGGATATCGAAGAACATGGTGACATTGGAGACAATAATGGAGAAGACAAATTGGATTTATCTGGATCAGTTTGTTCATGTACTGTTGGCATTTTAGAATTTTGATTATCTTGATCATGGACTTTATTATTTTCCAGTTCAGAATGGCCAAAGTAATGAATTGAAGTGATTTCAGAGGTTGAAAAGTAGACAAAAGGCATTCCGTGAGCAGGAGCAGATGCTCGTCGATAAGCCTTCGGACTTATTGGAGATGATAATGATAAATCATGATTTTCATTATTATTTCCTTCGTTTATTATAGTAGTTTTTTCCTCTTCATTATTTTGTTGATTATGATCAGAATCTATAGAAAAAGTGACTTTTTGTGTAATAGATCTTTTAGTTTTCTCTAAATTACTTTTAAGCGAATCGGACAGAGGTTTTTTGACCTCGTTATCGACCGAACGATCTTGCGATGATCGTTTAAAATGTGATGAATGAACATTTGTATCTGTATAAGGTAATAAGTCTTTTATTTTCTCTTTAGAATTAATTTTAGCGACAGTATGTGAATTAATTTGTGTTTCTTGTCGGACAAGGTTGAGAGGAGTATTATTTAAGATTTCTAAATCGTGGCAAGTATTATTAGGACTTTTGTCAGACGAGTTAACCAACTGAGGGTTGTAAATTTGCTGCCAAAGACTCATTATAAATAAAGCGATAATAAATATTTCTTCTGGTGGCTTTTTTTGCTTATCCAAAAATTCGTACATACACTTTACGTACTGTACGAATCTTTAGAAAAAGAATAGTAACTGTAGTTTTGAAGTTTTTAATTATAAATTTTAAGATTGGTTTTTTTTTTGTTTCCTAAAAAAAAAAATATTATAAAATTAAATTTTAAACCAAAAACATTATTCTAGTATTGTCATTTAATATCAACCTTTAATAATATTGTTCACCGTCTTTAAAAATAATACTATATCGTTGTTAACAATGTCTGCAAAAAAAAAATATATCAAATATTACGTCAGTTTAAATGCACATGAAACAAAAAAAGAACAATTGCATTTTGGTTTCTATTAAACTTTATCGATAAAAACAAATTGAATAATTAATTGAATGTCGATATGTTTTTATTTTGTGAACAAAATTGTTACGCCTTTGTTTATTTATCAATACGTAGGCTGAAAATATCAAATTTATCTGTTATGAATTTTTCACAAGGTATTTTATATACTGTCTACGACATTATAAAAAAAAAGATATTTAACCTACTGTCGTACTATTCTGTTTTAAGTTTCTTTCACCCGTTTACTTTTTTTTATTGTTAATCCTTCTTTATCTCTGAAAGCAGCGATAGCCCTGCATAAATGACAAAAATTAGTTTCTACTGGGAAAAAGGTTTATCTTTTATATTTGAAATAAAATAAAAAAATAAAAAAATATCATAAAAATAAAAAGAAATCCCAGTAATATAAAATAAGATAATTTAATGTCAGTATTTAAGAAAAATTTACTGCTTTTTTTTTTGTACGTACGTACAATACCTTGGCATTGATAATTTTATTCGATATCTATTATTTATTATATAAGTTATATTACGTATAAATAAACATATTCGGAAATGTAAGGTTTTATCGTTAATAAAATAACGATAAAGATCTTATCAATTTATTTAAAATTATGTATGCGCACATACATAAGTGCATACTGCAGATACGTAACCTTCTTTTTATTAGACCAAAATATTAAGTTGATCATTATGGTCATTACTAAAGTGAGTTTATTTTAAATGAAATGTATTTATCATCATTAATTACTAAGAGATTGACTCACTTTTTATATAATACAAGATATATTTAGTTATCGTTATATTGTAATGCTTAGTTATTGAAAATTTTTGGATTCGAGTACAAGCCACTCTCGTTATAGAGTAATGAAATGACCATTACATTAATAAACTAAAAAATTTACTATATCGAGAGCTTTATTAGTAATACGTATAATATATCGAGAGAATTTATATAGACTGAGAGTTGATTTCACTACGTATAAAGATAACAAGTGTAACTTGTACTTGGAAAGTTCTAATAATTTTCAATGGATTACCTCCGTTTCACCATTTCCCTAACTTTAACTCTAACTAATGCTAACTCCAAATAAGGCTAACTCTAACTTTAAATCAAGCCAACCTTATTTGTCGAGAAAAAGATATTTAATCCAATTTATCATAGCTAAGTGTCGAATATTTCATGATCTAATAATAGAATATAACAATTTTTTTTTATATTTGATTTTTTGAGAAAAATCAAAGAATAGAAAAATATTTAACTCCAATCACTACGATAATATCTCTCTTTTAATTTTTATTTTGTATTTTGAATTAAAAAAAGTTTATTATATTAATTATCATTTTGTATTTTGAATTAAAAAGGTTTTTATATTAATTATCATATGCATATTTTGTACTTTATTTTGAATTAAAAAGATTTTTATATTAATTATCTCAAATAGGAAATTTATCTACAAACTTTAAAAATATTTTTTAAAATTTTTTTAATAAAAAATATATTTTTTCTTTAATTATTATATCGATATTAAAATTTAGAGGAATTTACAAATAAGGGTCCAAAAATAATTATTTTAGCAAATTTTACCTATATCTCATAATATAGTAAACGAAATTTAGCGATTTTGATACCATTCGAATCATCTCGTCGAGACGGATCGAATGGTACTAAAAGTCGCTAAATTTTAATGACTGGATAACAAGATATTACGATTTAAACAGACTTTAGAAAATGTTAAATAACTCGTAATCCAGTAATTAAAATATGCTGATTTTGGTACCATTCAATGCGTCTCAATGAGACGATTCGAATGGTATTAAAATCATTAAATTTCGTTTACGGTATCATGAGATATAGTAAAAACTGTTAAAATTTATTAAAATAGGACCCTATGTAATTATTTTCCATTTATGGACCCTTATTTGTAAATTCTCTTAAAATTTATTATAAAGTTAAATAGTGATGTAATCTATTAATATAAATTGTATTCTAAAACTATAGTTAACTGTGGTTAGACTGGTTTACTAAAACATATTATTTGGTGTTTAATATTATATTAATTAATATATCAAAATTTAGTTAAAAAACTATCTTTAGAGTTTTAATAAAAAAATTTTTTTGCTAAAATTTAGTATATACTAAATATTTTAAAAATTTCAAGCTTCATTCTAACTCTAATTTTAATTAAAAATTTTCTTTTTAATAAAAATTGTTTTTTGTATTAAATACTATAAGTATATTTTATAATTACTATAATAAATTACTGTTTTTGATTATATAATATAAAAAATTATAACAAATTTATTTGTATATTAATTTAAAATTAAAATTAGAATACAACACAACTCTTCTTGTTGATCCTCTGACCACTTTTTTCTGAAAAGAAAACCTGACCTGCGAAAACACTTTTTTATTATACAGATAATAATATTCTTTTCTAAGTGTTCTACGATGTATTGTGGGCGAATACCTTCTTTGAAAGCTCTTTTTAGCCGCATTATCTAGAAGTAATTTCTTGGGTATTATTAAAAAAGTAGTAGCAGAAGCAAGAAAAATTGTCAAATATCTCTGTTATTTCAAGTGATGCTCATTAGTAGTTTGCTAGCACAGGGATAGCTAGATATAACATATATTTGTACTGTTTAATAAGAAAACAAGTAGCAAAATCTTACTCTC